GTAGTTCAAAGAATGAGTAAATACCACCTCTGGTTGGCCCCAGAGTGGGGTGGGAATGGGAATTTTGCAGTATCCTTCCCCTGCCACACCCACAGAACCGGTAGTATTTTTTTTTAAATTTCACCACTGGCTGCAACTGTCATTAATATGAGCCAATGGCCAAGCAACTGAATTTTGATTACATGACTGTGGGGATGCTGCAAAGATTACAACTGTGAAAATTGTCATAAGTCACATTTTTCAATGCTATCATAACTTTGAAAGGTCACATAATGATCTGTTATAAGTCAAGGACTATCTGCAGTGTAATGGGGATGTAACAGAATTTCAAATTGTATTATAAATAAAAAATAATGAGGACCAGCTGATGGTTGAAGAATAGAGTGTTAATCTAGCCATTACAAATATACAAATATAGATACATATTTCGAGTGGCATGTTTGCTATTCAAGGTGGTGCAGTGGTTAGAGTACTACAGGCTACTTTAGCTGACTGCTAGCTGCAGTTTGGCAGTTCAAATCTCACTGATTCAAGGTTGATTCATCCTTCCAAGATGAGTAAAATGAGGACCCAGATTGTTGCGGACAATATGCTGACTCTGTAAACCTCTTAGAGAGGAGTGTAAAGCACTATAAAGTGGTCTAATTTCTACCAGTATTGCTATTACTATTGGGAAGAAGTTCAACTGGTTGCTAACAGAAAACATGCATGGCATATTTATGGCCATTCATTTCCAATACCATTTTTCACAAACTATGTTGATGGAGCTACCTGCAGTTCAACAATCTTTGGAAGGCTACTAACTTCCAAATCCTGGGTTATTACCTCCTGGATGAATCCTCATCACACTAACAGGAGAGAAGGGGCCTTTCTCCTGATATCCCAAAACTAGCCAGGAACATGTATCCCAGCACCAGTTCTTGAAGTTAATCCGCAACTCCTAGTCTATAAGAATGGAAGTATTATTGAGTTTTCAACCATGGACAAAGCTTGTATAGAATCTTCTGTTATTTATACATGAACAGCTTTGGGCAAAAGGTAGTCAAATGTTGGATAGAATGCTAGCTATAACTTTTCCTAGTCTTTCCTAGACTTTAGGATCTCAGATGCTTGAATATTCCTACTCAAATAGGTTCTTCTAATTATATGCTACTGCACATATTTCTGAAGCATGGACTTGATGTTGGCTTCCTTGATGCTTTTCCACCATTTGGATCACCTCTTGTAGCCCTACTCTTTGAGCTATGTTCTTGTGGGACATATACATTGAGCTATGTTCTTGTAGGACATATACATTAGCACAATATCCAAGAACAGAGCTAATTGGGATGGCTATGGTTGGATTGAAACATGAGCACCTCATAGAAGCTAAAAGATGACATAGCTGGATAAACTGACAGGTTAATTTCTAGTAGTAATTACCCTAGAGATCAGAGGAGTGTCATGGCAAAGGTGATAGGGCCAAGGAGACCCAAGGAAGGTATAAATCTAGCAATAAATAAATACATGAATGAAGTTATATAAATTCAGCTTGCCTATAGAACAAATAAAATTGAGTTGACAGAATCCAAAGCTACCTGGTTTAACAGTGCTTTTCATATAAACTCCCTCCTGTCCATCTAAAATTATTCTGCATTTAATAAACTTCCACATTACAGCAAGGAAGAAGTAGCATCTGTGACATTTGTGTGAGGAGCACTAAAATATTTTTTCCGATGCAATTTAAGGTGTAATATTCCTGAAACCAATGTTTTTGATGTACATTAAAAGTGTCAGTTTTTGGTAAAAAAGGAGACAATTTTTTCTCTTGATTCATTGCAACTGCATGGACATGTCCATGCCTGTTTCTTGGCAACCTTACAGAATGGAATTGCCATTGCCTTCTTTTTCATTTCCCAGTCTAGTCTATAAGCACAATATTTTCTAATGTTGTCCTTTTAAAGCAGAATTGCAGTTCTGCTTAACATTTTCAAAATCAGAATCAGCCAATGTCAGCTTGTGCTGCTGCCTGCTTGCAATCAAAAATGTATGTGTCTCTTTTACATAAAGACTGAAATATGTACATGTGTATTTATATATGTAGGCATGTTAGTATGTAGTCCTTGACTTAAAACCACAATTGGAATTGGAAGTCCCACTGCTAAGCAACAGAGACGTAGAGCATGAGTTCACAGGAACTCACTTAGTGATGGCAATTCTGGCACTCCCCATTGCCATCGTTAATTGAATTCCACCAGTTGCTAACTGAGGATCCACTCCAATCCAAGCCATTCTAAGCTTGGTCCCTCCAATCCTCAACTCTGCCATTTTGGTCAACTGCACCCTGCCTTGCAAGCTGGCAAGCAGTCCCAGAATTATGCAGCTCTACATGCAGCTTGTAAATCAAAGGAAATACAGATTAGTAACAAGTAAAGTTACAAATTTGATTGAGCACCTTTCTCAAACTTTACTTTTCAAAAATTCTCAAATTCATAGAGTTGTCAAACTGAAGATTAAATTTAGAAGAAAGTTCCTAATTTTACCATTGTCTAACATGTTGACTAAAGAAATAAAAAGATCTCCAATTTAGAAGCGGTGGCTATCAATTTAAGATAGAAATATAATTTTAACTTTAAAAAAGAAAATGTAATTTTTTACAATTGCATCCCATCTTTTTCCTTCAGGAAACTCCAGGTTAGACACAAGGGATCTCCCTTTATTTTATTTTTGATAAATGACTTTTTGTGGGTAGAGAGAAAGATAATGCCTGGCCCCAAATCACCCAGTTTGATGATTAAGTAACTGCTTGAATCGGGGATTTTCTGATCTGAGTTCATGACTTTAACCATCATGTCACATGCTTTGGAGCACTAGGTCAACACTTAGAACCTGCATTTTTAGACTTAAATCAAAACTTCAGCATTTACTCTTAAATACCCAATGTGGTTTAGTGAATTTAGAAGCACCATGTCTGCAAAGAAACTAGAGAAGTTAGTAAAGGAGAAGCTAAATATGAATCAGTGATGATGTGTGGAATGCCTAATAAATAAATAAATGTGTTGATGCAATTTTCATTTCCAATCTAGAAACACTGTGCGTTCTTTAGTTGAGGAGAAAGTGTTCCAATTTTGTTCTGCTTTAATCTGGTCACCCTATAAATTTTTTGTCCAATTTTAGGCATTGCACTTGAAAAAGGTTATTGACATACTGAAATGTATTTGAAGAAAGGCTATGAAAATAATGTAAAGATCAAGTCCTTTGAAAGTAGGGGAAGAACTTGGATGCAGAGGAGAAGGAGGAGGAGGAGACCATTTTTAAAATTAAGAACAATCACATATTCTAATGTTTCTGAGTGTATGACTTTAAATTACATATACACATTCTTCAATGAATGAAAGTACAGACTGCAATGGAACATATTGTTTTAGAAGATGTTGGTTTTTCTTCTCTCTATGAAATGTTTAAGATTTAGAGATGTGTGATTCTGTGATATCATAATTATACATGTAGTTTTAAAGCAACCTTACAATCTCTGTATTGCATAGGACTTGTCAATATATTTACGATGTTATCCTTAATAAATTCCCATATTCCCACTCTCCATGCGTATGTACATTACAGTCATTATATCATCCAAATCTTATCTATCTTTATAATAGAAGTAAATCCCACAGAGTTAAATAAGGATTGTTCCAAAGTAAATAGTGAGGTTTGTAATCTTAATCTTCCCAATTCGTCAGTTCTCCAAGCTGGAGAAGAAAAAAGTCTTTTCAAACTTTGAACTGACTTTTTAGTAGTAAGAAAATAATATAAATTGGGCTTAAGGAAGAGGGAAAATAAAGCTTTCACAAGTTCCAATAAGCTGCTAATTCGTATAATATTGCCTTTTCTCAAAACCTAGTAGTCAAATCACTAATGTCTGGTGATTGTTCCTAGACACTAAATATAAACTGAAGGCACAGATATGTTTCCTTTTTACAGATATTTGAAGTTGCTCAGTTTCTTGCTTCCATTATTAATAGCCAAGCACCTCAAATACAGTGTTTTAGTTTTGTAATACACTTCCCAGAGTCACTTGTCTGAGAGATGAGTGGCTATATAAATTAAATAAATAAATAAAATAATCTCATCATTTTATTTGGTTTATACACAAACCAAGGAATTAATTTTCTCTCCCTCCCTCCCCCTCCCCCTCCCCCTCTCCCTATCCTTCCCCCCCCCCCTCCTCTGCCTCTCTCTGCTGGAATATATGTAGCTGCCTTTCTTTTCTCAGTACATTAAATGATCTCAGAGACATGGAATAGGGGAAACAAAGACACTTTGAGAAGTTTAATCTATCCTGCAATCATCCACGATATTTGCACAACAAAAGTAAAGTATATTTAATTTATTTGGATTGGATGGCTCTCCATCTGAATTCTCTGAGAACATGCAAAGCCTCCGAATTCAGAGTTAATTAGAGTTGAACACACACGCACAAGCAGACAGGCAAACGTGCAGATACATTCATCCCTATTTCTCTTATGCGGTGGAAACAATCTGAGCACAAATGTCGTTTTAGATCTTCAGCAACTTCACCTGGTGGAGCAAAGACTACCTTTCTAACTCGGAGAGAGAGAAAAAACCCAGTCCAAGTAAAAATTCAGCTTCTCAAGCAGTAATACAGAACGAGCGGCGTTCACCGAAAGGATGGTTGTGTTGGATCGATCGGAGAATGTTGTTGAACTCGGCTTTGTCCCGCTGCAGCACCAGAATTGGCTGCTGGGAAGCATTACACGCTGTCCATGGTACTGAATTCTGAAATCAGCTTTGCAAACTAAAGGCAACTCGCCGAATTCTTACATAGGAACCGCCCCCCTCCCGGCATCCCTGCTGGAGATCTTAAATATTTATCGCGGATCCGGGAGCGTGGGTCCTCTCCATGTCGCCACTTCTCCGCGCACATTCACAGAGGCAAGATCCCAGGTCTCTCTCCCTCTCTCCCTCCCCTCTTCCCGTCCTGATCTCCCGCCGTCCCTTACCTGACTCTTTCGAGGAAACTCATTGAGTACGATGCTGATCACTGGAATGTGCAAAGCGGTGGCAACGAAGTCCATCTGTAGGATCTCGCTTCTGCTCTGCGGAAAGGCAAGAATGGCCGAGACGCCTTGTACCACCACAGTGTGGCAGATGCTCTGCAAGAAGGAGACCGGGTCGTTGCTCCAGGAGGAGGCGCTGGGCGAAGAAAAGGGGAAAAGAGGTAGATCGCCCAGGCCCGCCTCGATAGCCATCACCACTTCCAGAGAAAGGTTGTAAGGCAGAAGCCCCTTGACGCGGTTGAGGTTCTCCGCCGCCAACAGGAGCGCCTCCCTCGGTATTAGAGGCAGTTGTGGCGCCTGGTCCGGACTCTCTTTGTCGATCAGGTTCTCCGTGCCCAGGTTTGCTCGCCTTCTCACACCGATCCCCGTTTTCCACCTCTCTGGAGTCCCGGGGTCCTGCGACCCAGATTCTTCCCCAGCAGAGTGGCTTCGAAGCAGGATATCATTGTGAGCTCTCCAGCCTCCTGCCCCGCCTTGGAAGGCAACCCAAGGTTGTAGGTGCGCCGCCCCGATCCTTACCGTGTGCCCGATCCGTTTGAGGATCCGGCAAGGCTGCGGGTGGCAAGAAGAGAGGGGCACCCCGGCCAACACGAGGGCACAGGGCGGCGGGAACAGCAGACAGACTCTGCTCAGGAGCCACCAAACACTCAGTCTCCACATCACTGGAGAGCCAAATGCCCGGCACGTTAGGAGAAACCCCCTTCTCCCTATCTGCCTTCCCACCTCAGACACCTCCCCCTCCACCGATGCTAGGCGCTCCTCTCTCAGCCGGTCTCCCACCGCCAGCCATACAAGTTGCGGGGCTCTTCAGGCCCCTCGGAGGCTCCCCAAACCTACACAGCCGATTTCCTTCCCTGCTTCAGAAAGATCTCCCGCAGACTTCTCCCGGTGGCCGCCTAACCAGACTGGGCTCTAAGGATTAAGATCCATTCCGTTCTATCCCTGGAGTGTCATCGCCACCCTTCGGGGCGATCTGCTGGATCTCCATGGCTCGAATCCACCAGAAGAACCGACCCGGAGATCCAGATTTTCAGACGCCTCTGAGGAACGCAAGAGGCAGGATCCCACCCTCCAGAGACGCCCCATCTCCCTTGGGCCACTTCCCCTTTCTACTCGCCGCTTCTTTCCCCCACTTCTTCCTTCCCCTCGTTTCCAGTCTTCTGCCTTCCCTTGGCAGTTTGTTTCCAAAGCTCTTGTCCAAGGGAACACAAAGTTGCCAAGCAGGAGGGTAAGCAAGTAGCAGCGACGCTTCTTCCTCGTCCGATGGAGCTCCAGTCGGTCGCTTCGCTAGCTAAACACCCACTGCCTGCCTGCCAAGACGGCTTTGGAAAGGCGAACAGGTAGCGCTCTGAGCGGGACAAACGCCCCGCGAGGAACGCTGGGAGTTGTAGTCACCCTCGCCGGACTGTTGGAAGTCTCCCTAGCACTGGGGCTTTCTCCAAACGCTTTGCTGTAATTCGCATTTAGTGTGCTAGTGGAGCCATGTTTTAGGAGTCTTTTCTCTTCTTTCCCTATTAGGATCTGAAGGGAAAAAAGGACGCAGTTAAGAAATTCTACTCTCACCCACACCCCACCCCCTTTTTAAGGATAGAGCAAAAATACATCTCCAAACGTTTTATTTCTTGCTCCAAACATATATTCTCCGGCAAGAGATTTCCCTTTCCTCCAGATTCATTTTCCGTGAGAGAGAGAGAGAGCTGCATGATGAGAAGGAGACATTCAAGAAGACCAGTCAAAGTGATCCCCTGTCCTTTTGCTTTTTTGGTGACTAACCAAGGCATGGGGGAAGGGAAGGATGAGTGGTAGTGGAAATGGAGAGGATCAATTCCAACAACTGGGAAGAGAACAGGAGACTCTATGGAGCACTTGTGATCCATCAGCCCAGGAGGTGTCTATCTCATTCCTGCTCTCATTCCGGTTCCATAAATAGTAGTAAGAACCTTCACAGTATTTGACATTCTCCCACCAATTATATTATCCAGTACTTTCTGTAGAGAAAACTGTGATGCTGAAGATAGGGCACTGTTCATACTGTTCATCTGAGACTTTATACGTCTGATTGAGCTACCCCTCTGAAACAATGGAGTAGTCAAACAAAAGGGAAGTCTCCATTAACGTGAAGCTGATAGTTTATTATGGCAGAACTAAGGACATCACAGACATGAAACCATATATCCAAACTGATATTCCTTTTTTGTTGGGACACTAAACACAATCATTCTGCCCTGCAGGAAGGTGTTCATGCTCAGCTCCTTTAAGTTAAGAACACCAACAACAAAGAGAAGGAGCCTGAACAAGTAGACAAAAGTATTTCACAGAGATAATGTTTGCTAGGAAAATTTGGGAGTGAATCATACATCTATAGCCAAGAGTTTGGAAAACAATCAAAATTGTTCCCTGTTCCTTAAATTAATCATTTGTATTGAAAGGAAAATTAATATCAAGCTCATATCTGTTATGTTCTCTATTTTTTAAATATACAGTATATATATATATATATATATATATATATATATATATANCCCTTATTCATGTTAAGAGCAAAATATTCTTTCAACAGTTTTTTGCATTCTATGACATTTCTCTCATATCTAAATAAAAGTTCATTTAACCTCCAAGACCTCCTAGATCCCTCTCCATGTTTCAATTCCATCCAAACTGGGTTATGGTCTGTTAGGGTTCTCGGGCATATCTTCGTCTTCTTCACCCTAGAAAGAAAATCATTTGTAATTAATATAAAATCAATCCTAGAGAAGGATTGTTGCCTATCAGAAAAGAATGTAAAGTCCTATTCTTTAACATTCGGTTCTCGCCAAATGTCTCTTAATTCCATATCATCCATCATGTCAAAGAAAGATTTAGGCAATCTTGCTTGTGTTTGAGTATTTTGCAAAAGTCCCTTCTTATCTTACTTGGTGGCCAATACTCCATTCCAATCACGCAATAATATACACGATCTATAATCCCATTGTATTAATTTAGTATGGAACAACTTATAAAAATTTTCTTGTTGTTGATTGGGAGCATATACTCCTGTTAAGAGTGTTTTCTTTCCTTCTATTAATAGTTCAATTGCAATATATCTTCCTTGAGGATCTGCTTGAATTAATTCAAGTATATAACTATACCATTTTTCTTCTCCAGAGCAGATGCCACAAAATGTAGTCCCAATCTTGCATTCATCAAATATTTCTGGTCATTTGTTCATGTGTTTCTTGCAAGCAAATTACATCATTTTTAAATTGTTTCAAATAGTGGAATATTTTTTTCCTTTCTTGTGGTAAGTTTAAACTATTAACGTTCCAGGTTAAAAATTTAATTGTCATCTTCAACCCCCTGAAGCTTTTTAAGAGCCACCTGGAAATCCTGCTGGAATTTCATCTTTGGTCTAGCTCCCCCACAGCTTCTGTATTTGTGTTTGTAATTTCTTGTATTGTTGTCTGAGCTTGTTGCATCTTTAATTCTTGTTCTTTACGTTTGGTAGCCGCTAGGGTTTGTCTTTGTTCCATAATTCCTTCTGTCTCCTCAAGTAAGTTCAGGGCTTGAGCAGCACCTGCTTGTACCTGGATATCTTCCTGTCTAGCCTCCCCTGCTTCTTTTCTTCCTCTGGGTCCTTGAGATGGAGGGTATCCAGCCTTTAATACATTGTTGTAAAAATCTCTTGCCTTCCAAACTGAATTAAGACGATATCTTTGTCCTAAGTAGTTCACCACCAATCTGGCTTGGACCTCCCATCTATACTGTAGCTGGCGATTTCTGAGTTCATCCACTAGAAATACATAATCCTTTCTAGATCTCAACATTGTAGGGTGAATTTCCTTCAATACTATCAGCTCCTGACCTGCAACCTGCAATTGGTTTTTATAGGTCGCTTGTAATATCACGTTCCTTGTTTTCCTTGTGACAAAATAGATTACAATATCTCTTGGTAGTTGTCTCTGTCTGGCAATCCATGAATTAATGCAGTAAATTTTGTTGATCTGCCGGCCTTGCCAACTTTTGTAGATATCAGCCTGGCAGCTCTCCACACTAGATAAGGTCTGTCACTGTAAATCCTCCCTTGAAAGACTTTGCTGTAGGAGCCAACATCACAAAGATACAGATGTGCAGTTTCAATGCTCCGAGACCACAGCCAATACTTTTGCCACTGGGTGATCCAATCGGACTTTAACCGTCCCTCAGAGATGGTGAACAGGAAGAATACGTCTTGCTGATCTCAGGGACATTGCAAAGTCCCTGATCGATCCAAGAGAAGTTCTTCAAGCAGGCGACAAAAAATCCAGCCATTAGGCTGATGAAGTCGGGGCGGCTCCAAAACGGAAGGATAAGGAAAGAGAAAGTGTTTCCAGATGGTGGGGAATTTTTACCATTTTAAAAG